GTATGGAAATATATTATTAAATAAACTTTGTGTGTCTCTAAAGGGGAAACTATCTGATACTTAAACTTAATTATGCACAAACTTCCCTTGACAAACAAAATTATTTTCCAATGATTAAATTAAACCAGAAGACCTTATGGAAAAAGAAAATAGCTCAGCACAGGTCACTTGTCAAGGCTCCTGACATGCTTATTTTATTTTATTTTGTATAGTTACATTTGTTTTTATGGACTAACTGAAATAGCACTTGTGAAAGATTGTCTGGCAGTTTTAATCAGTGAATGCCCAAAGTGAATATTCTCATTTTAGCAGGGGCCCTAGGTTTTGAGGAAATTAGCTGATCTCTCAGCTTGATTCAACATGCAGATACTTAGGTTAATTCACTACCAGTTCATGAGAAGTTTTTAACAAAGACAATCTATTTTATGATTTGTAACAAATATTTATTATTGCTCTCAGTAACCTAGTCAAATCAAGAAAACGTAATGGGTTTCGTTGTCTGTGTCACTTTGTTCATTAGTGGGCATATTATCTTGTATAAATACAAAGATAAAAGTGTTTCAAAATTCCACTTTACATTAAGATCAATAATATCATCATTGCTGTTGAAACATTTTAAAGAGGAAATTCTATTGTTTAATATTCTGATTTTTTAAACAAATGAAATATCCTATTAATATTCTGTTACATCTTAGAAAGAAACATTCAATATTTACGTTATTTTCTCAGTTAGTATAGTCCTGGTAGTTTACATTATAATATTGAAGAGATGTTTTTCTTGAAATCTTGAACCATCAAATATTAAAGGCCTTTTAATAATTTCATCAACTTGTTATTTTTCACATGCTATACAACTTTTTCTTGACCAAGACAACAGCAAAATGATTCAAACTGTTTGAAAAATTACTGTGGAGATTTTTGTGGAAAAATTATTGTTGTAAGAAAATGTATAAGGTAAGTAATATTTCCTGTGGCCAGAAGAAAGGGTGCTGTGTCAAGGGTATTTATATATAAATGATCTGCAATATGATCTGGAAGGAGACGGCAAATAGGATGACTGAGATGCAAAAAGTATTTTAATGGGCTATCCGAAGTTTTCACAATGCTGTACTACTGTGGTGTTCCAGTCTATTTTGATCATGGACCTATACATCTGTTCTTCACATACGAACAAAGCACCTACTGGATCTTCCGATTCTCTTTTCTCATCTGCTTATGTGTGGCTGGTGAGGAATCAAATTGCTGGAGCTGATAACGTGAATCAAAAATATTAGGAGACAGTTGCATATTCAATAACACATTATAGGTAAAGAATTACTTTATATTCTGAGAATAGTACAGAGCAACTGAAAAGACTAAATGAGGAAATAAATAATGTTTTAAAATTTCTGTGCCTTTCATAAAGTAAAGTTTTCATAATACATTGAATGAGTATTTAAACTGCCATTTATTGTCATTTTTCCAACATCTCCAAAAGCCTTTCAAGTATTTTCTTTTCAGTTTTCTAATTGTTGATATACTGTATTTGGGAAACTAGTGTAAAATCAATTGAAAAAAGGAAGTTAACCTTATCCCACAGTTCAAAAGCATCCTCTCAAAAATTATGAAACATTTAAAATGCATCTTTTATAACAGTTTAAGAGAGGAAATAAACATAAACCCTTGACCCCCATAAATGCAAATTTGCAAAGTGTCTAAATGGTAACTTTGAGTTTTAGGAAACTGTTCAAATACCTTTGTTTTGACACAAGACAACTAGGAACATGTTGTATTTTGAATATTTATATAAGGCTCACCCCACACAAAGAGTAGCAGTGAACTGAAACTTCACTCACTGAGTAGATCATAGTGCTCTGTGTTCTGAGTCGGCCTCATTAACTAGACAACTTTCCACCAGGGCTGGTCAATGCTCCGGCATTCAAAGCCCTGTGGAATGAGCCCTGAGACAGACCTTCCTAACTATGGACATTCTTCCACCCCTCACACTGTGGCAGCAAGTTCCAGATATAGACCACCCGCCTGCTGCAAGAATTCTGTATTAATCAAGTACGTAGGAAGCTTATCACTGCCATCTAATCTTTTATCCTATGCTTCTCTTCAATAATGTCAAAACGAAAGGTCAAAAGAGAACATCATAAACCAGAAATCCACACATTTTCCTTTCTAACAGTGACATGCAGGTGTTTTCACACATAGCATGATTTAGTCATATTATCTGGATGACTGACATGGTTTTTCACATTTTAACTTGCTTTTGCACTGGGCTATTTATTGGGTTGTATCTGCGTACTTCCGCCCTACTGCAGGCCCCTGCAAGAGCCTTTCAGAAGCCCATGAGAATCAGAAGTGATGCACTTTCAGACACTATCTGCCTTCTTTTTTTTCTTTCTTCCTTTTTTTTAAAGCGTGGACATACGACTTGGCAGATTCAACATTTATAATTTCAGCTATTCCTGAGTGATCTCTGACGTTTAATAACTTGTCATTTTGTTGAGGTACAAATCTGAATTATTATTATCACTCCTTACAAGGCTAATGTCCAAAGTCAGTCATTTATCCAAGAGTGAAAATGGCCAACAACTGAATAACAGGTCTCAATTCAGGAAAGTTGGTTGCCTTTCTCACTGCCTGTGTTGTCACCCTCTCAAGATGATAGTTTTTCTTTCTTTCCTCTTTTTTTAAGGTCCGTCAAGTGAGATATAAAACAATGAAAACTGAAATGGCAGCAGACTAGGGATATGCTGTTACATACTGTGGATAACACATGTGACTCTCTACGGATCCTTGATTCAGGAGAAACTTAACTATGTGGGCAAATTTGGGGATTACAGGAATTCTCTGGACATATTCCTTGTAAACTTTGACAAGCTGCTAGCACTCATTTCCATCTTCAACTCTTGTTCAAATTGTTCTCTATGTATGAGATGCCTCCTCTCTGTATCTTTCTTTTGTTTTCTTTTTTTAAAGATTGGCACCTGAGCTAACAACTGTCGCCAATCTTGTTTTTTTTTTCCTGCTTTTTCTCCCCTGTTCCCCCAGTACATAGCTGTATATTTTAGCTGTGGGCCCTTCTAGTTGTGGCATGTGGGACGCTGCCTCAGCATGGCCTGACAAGCGGTGCCATGTCCGCACCCAGGATTGGAACCTGCGAAACCCTGGGCTGCTGAGGCGGAGCTCAGGAACTTAACCACTCGGCCACGGGGCGGGCCCCCTCTTACTTTTCTCTTTACTGTTTTACAAGTAAAACAAGCACAAATAAAACATGAGCACATTCTTACTTTAAAACGTTTAAACAATACATCAATAGAAAAACAACATCAAAGTTCCCATTACCGCATCCTCACTCCTACTTTGCTCTCCAGAGGCAACCACTTAGCTATAACACGTGTGTCCTTCCAGGGCCCTTACTCCATTACAGGAATAGATTTCGTACATGTACATAAATCTTTTTATGTTTTAATTTAATTTAATTTTTTACATAAATCAGGTTATAGCAGAATGTGAGTTCCATGAGAGCAGAGCCTTTGTTGGCTCTTTGATAGATCCGGAAGTCAAAAAGAGTGCTTGGTACATAGCGCTCCTTACTATTTGTTGGGCAGGTATAACTTGCTCTTTCAATTTAATATGTCTTGGTGATTACCCCATGTCAGCACCTAGATTTGGTTTGGGTCCACCTCATTTTTATTTTTCACATATATGCATAGGATTCTATGATGTGGGTTTAAGACAAATTATTTAACCACTCTAAACCCTAGTTTTTATTTAGAAGTCCATGTCCTTTAAATGAATCCTTCTCTGTGCACAATGACTTATTGGATCTGACAAGACAGTCATTTTGCCCCTCATTCACATTCCCTCTCTAGGGGTTATTAGACCCTTAAAAGTGTCTGCCTTAGATTACAGGTTTCTGAAGGGTACAGATTGTGCTACTCACTTCTATGATAGAAAAGCTATAACAGTGCTTGGAACAGAGCAAGCCTAACAAACATTTAAAAATGAATAACTGCTGAGTTTACACAATAAAGCATATTGACATATACCTACACAGTTGCTGACTAACGTCTGGAGGAACAGTTGTACATAAAATATACTTGTGGGGAAAGATTACAAACTATGACTTATTATTATTTTTTTAAGCAAATGGCTTAGAATTGTTCAGTCGACTACAGTCATTGAACATATCCACAGATCTAGAAAAGGGTGGACAGAAATTGCAATTGCCTCTTTAAAACACTATTCTCTTTAAATATTAATTAACACTCTCCACATCCCACTGTCCTCATTTTGGAAAGTTGACAAGAAGATATGCACTTTTACAGATGATAAAAGTTGGCCTTGTATTTGTAATTTGCTTACTCAACATTTTTAAGACACCCCAATGATGCTCAACCGTATCTCTTAAAATGTGCAAAAATTCAGCATTTTGTCTCAGATTGTACCCAAATTAAATAGAAAGTCAGATGATGAAAACTGGAGAAAAGTGTGAACCTTTCCTACAATGACATAACAATTGTTAAGCTAAGCAACTATTTTTTATTCCCAGATGAGCTTAAATAATGATATATCCACACGAAAAACAATATTTTTATCCCCAGGTAAGAAATTGTTTCTGTCTAATAATCTCAAAATATTGCCTTAGATGTAATTGTTTTCTTGACATAAAAATGATTGAGGACAAGCCAATAAAATTTGTTGCTGAAAAAGGAAAACATTAAATTAGGCCCTGACTTTCAGTAAAATAGAACCATATGGTACATTTAATTATAAGTTGAGGAGATATTTGAAGTTTTAATTTAAGTGTTTTACTTACAACATTAGCTCAACTCTTCTGCCCACATGTCTAATATCAAGCCATAGCACCACATGCAGAAAAACAATAACAACGAAAAAGATAAAAAACAACTCGTGAGTCACATACTTGCTCCGCACATCAAAAAGATATAAAACTCAAAAAGTTCATCAAATGGGGTCAATCCATAATGAATTCTGTTTCTCTTTTTTCCTCACTTGTATGTTAATAACATAATTTACGTTGTTTCTTTTGCTTTGCTTTTCAGTCTCATGGATCTATCCTGAGCTTTGGGATCAGAGCCCTGAGTATTGAGAGCCTAACCTGTGCCAGGTACCTGCTAGACACTGGGTGCAGAATGGTGAGCAAAGACTGGCAAGATGCCTATATTCTTGGAGCTTAAAGTTCAATTACTAAGAACCAGTTAGCCTTTGGCAAATTATTTATTATCTCTGAGACTCAGTTTCTTTATCTGTGAAATGGAAAAATGGTACCTACTTCATAGAATTATTGCAAGGTTTAAATAGGATAATAATACATGTTAAGAGCTGGCATTGTGCCTTTCACAGGCAGATACTAAAAAATGCCAGCTACACTTCCTAATCCTCCCTCACCCCTTTCCCTGAATGAACAAAGAGATCTTTAATCACAGTAAGCTAGCACCCTCAGAAAGCACTGCTGTGTTGTGCAGCTGGAGAGTGGCCTGTACGGTCGCAGATGTTACCTTCTTGCCAGGACAGTGGAGACTGATGAGTGGAGGAAGGGAGAGGCCTGCATGTGGGGCTACGTCAGGCAGTTGACGGATCCTGTGATCCGTGCCCCCCTCATTTTCCTTGGTTTGAGGCAAGAGGAGCAGGGCCAGGGACAGCCGAGCAAACAAAGTAATCCAGATCATACTTGTGGTGAGGGTGACAAACTCTAAGAAAGAACATCAATCATTTTGAGCAATGACTGTCTTTTCAGACTGTGTTCACCTGGACCAGTGGAGGGAAAAACATAAGTCTGCTGTTCAATAATCTTGTGTAAAAACTCTTTTCAACAGGGATGGCTTTGTTGTTCTCTGATTACTCACTCTATTTTCTCCCAAATACTCACTCTTCTTGTTCTACCTTTACTTTCAGCCTCATAAAGCTGACAGAGCAGACTGTGAAACCTATTCATTGTGTGGCCTGTCCAATGAATTACATTTGTTTCCAAGTTCTGAAAGATGCTCTCAACAAGCACAAGGTGAGCCAGCATTTTCCTCATTGGATCACCAGTGGGGCAGAAGCCTTGGGCTTCACATGAGGAAAGTCCACTTTAGCAACCTGAGGAACATCTTGCCTCCAAAGAATTCAGTCAGGGATGTTGCCCCAAATTGTGATGAATTATTCTTTCATTTTCCCGCTTGCTTTATTCTAATGCCTGGTGGAGGATGTTCACCTCCTCCTCCTAGCTAGTTGACAGATACTCTGGTGAGCCTGAGCAATTGCTGCTGCTGCCCGCCTACCTCTTTTTGCCTGGTTTAACAACACTAGTACTTTATTATTCACAGTATCATTAATTAATTAATAAGACAGTTGGTGATGATATTAAGGAAGCTGGAACCACTTCAATTTAGATCGACACTACTCAAGACATTGGCACAACTGATGTTTGTTCAGAAATAATAGAGTATGGCAGGGAATCTGGGAGAGAATAAGAGAGGGCTAATTTGGACCCAACTAATTAGAATATCATCATCATTTGGATAGAGAGTAACTTAGTATTTAACTTTTTACAAGTATAAAAATGATTCCTGAAGCAGTGCCATAAAGTAGTGATTCTCATTGGGGATAGGGAGCTATAGCAGAATCTGTTACCCAGAAGCATGCCAGGTTTGAAAAAGTATATTTATTATACCTATTTCTTACATAAGGCAGAAGGGAAAGCGGGATAGAACTTCTTGACTGGGAGAGAGGGAATATGTAGAATATAGAGTGAGAAATCAGTGCAGGAGGCATGTAGAGTAGGAACAAAAAGTCAAGAAACACAGTGAGTGTATAAATTAAATATTTGGAAGAGTATTTAACTTATTCATGAGAACCAACTATTTTCAAGAACTTTGGCATATATTATATATTTTTAAAAGTCCTGGTTACCATGGATTTTAATAGTCGGTACAGCAAAATTTTCTTCTTTATTTTTCATTACTTTGAGCTTAATTGGAGAAAGTACCGTGGTGTAGCAGACAGCATGCTACTGAGATTGTTATACTGGCTTTGTTGCTATGCTGCAGTTAAAATCAATGAACATTTTGGCGATCATACTGAGTATGTGTTGTAGGACCTATGAGAGCTCACTTCTTCCTTGAACCTGTTTCCTCACTGTAGGTTCCAGTTACTATTGCTGTGTATCAAGCCACCCCAAAACTTGGTGGCATCACACACCTATGGTATCCTGCTCACAGATGTGGGTCAGGAGTTTGGACAGGACATAGCCCATATTGCTTGTCTCTGTACCACAATGTCTGGGGCCTTAGCTGAGTGGTCTCAAAGGCTGGGGGTGACTTGAACACTCAGGACAGGAATCATCTGGTGACATCTTGACTCAGGTGTCTGGTTGTTGATACCTGCTGTTGATTGGGCTGACAGCTGGATTGTGGGCCAGAACACCTATATATGGCCTGTCCACATGGTCTCTCTGTGTGGGTAGGATATTGTGATCTATAACAAATATATATACTTGGTTATTCAGATGACCCAAATATATTTCTCATGTATACTTGATATTCATTCAGAGTTCCTGGCTCACAGTTTCCAAAACCCTTGGAATTCCCTGTGATGAGAGCCATACACATGTCTTCTGTTATGTTAATGAGGCGTCTTTTGGAAAGCATCTAAGGATGGGGACTGGCTGCCAGTGGAGTCAACAATGTGATTAGAGGATTGAAACTTTCAGTCCCACCCCTTGACCTCTGAGGAGGGGAGAAGGGCTGGAGGTTGACTTCACTTGCCAATGGCCAATGATTTAATCAATCATGCTTATGTAATGAAGCCTCCATAAAAACCCAAAAGGATGGGGTTCGAAGGGCTTACTTCTTGCTGAACACATGGAGGTTCTGGGAGAGTGGCTCACCTAGAGAGGGCAAGGAGGCTCCACGGCCCTTCCCCATACCTTGCCATGTGCATCTCTTCCATCTGGCTATTCCTGAGTTAAATCCTTTTATAATGAACCGGTGATCTAGTTAGTGAAATGTTTCCCTGAGTTTTGTGAGCCACTCTAGCAAATTAATCAAACCCCAGGAGGAGGTTGTGGGAACCTCTGATTTATAGCCTGTTGGTCAGAAGTACAGGCAACAACCTGGACTTATGACTGGAGTCTGAAGTCCAAGGAAAGGGTTGTTAGAACCTGCAGTCTGTAGCCAGTCAGTCAGAAGTGAAAAAACAGCCTGGGCTTGTGACTAGCCTCTAAAGTGGGGGTCAAGGGACAGTCTTGTAGTACTGAAACCTTAACCTATGAAATCTGATGCTATCTCCTGGTAGATAGTGTCAGAATTGAGTTGAATTCTTCTTTTTTTTTAAAGATTATTTTTTCCTTCTTCTCCCCAAAGCCCCCCAGTACATAGTTGTATATTTTAGTTGTGCGGCCTTCTAGATGTGGCATGTGGGATGCTGCCCCAACATGGCCTGACGAGCAGTGCTAAGTCTGTGTCCAGGATCCGAATTGGCAAAACCCTGGGCTGCCAAAACAGAGCATACAAACTTAATCACTTGGCCATAGGGCTCGCCCTAGTTGAATTCTTATGCACCCTGCTGGTGTCTGACAATTGTTTTTGGTTTGGGAACCCCCCATTTTGAAAATTGGGTCTCAGAACACGCAAAAGAGTGGGCTAGTTCGGGTTTCTTCACAGAATAATAGCTGGGTTCCAAGAGTGAGCGTCCCAAAAGAGTCAGGTGGAAGCTAGCCTTGAAAAACACATAGCATTGCTTTTACCATAGTCACATATACCCACCTCGATTCAAGAGGAGGGAAGATGAACCCATCTCTTGATGGAAGGAATGTCAAGGTTGCATTGTAAGAGTTTGTGGGATGGGCAATGTTGTTGTGAACATCTTTGGAATATATAGTCTACCATACCGTATATATATATATAATATAGTCTTCCATACTACACTTCAGTTTAATAAGTGGTTACTGATGACTTACTGAATAAAAGTTTTGACTTTTAAAAATGAGGATCAGAAGAGCTAGTGGTTTTCAAACAGCCAAAACATCATAGGGAATGTTTTTCTTCAAGAGACGTTATGATTCCCTTCTTCTCCACCCCACAGCAGGTGACTGGTTTTGTGTGGCGAATACTTTAAGCATCATCTTGGGTTGGTGGGGCATAGGGTCTCCAAAAACTCTGATTGATAACAATGCATCTCTTGGTAATTGTCTTTCTTAGGGAGCAGTTGGCCTGAGATTTGCATCCTTCCTCTACCACTTATTACCTGAATGACCTTGAACAAATCACTTAATCTTTCTTTGCCTCAGTTTCCCTATCTGTAAAACAGGAGATAATAATAGTAACTACTTAATGGATCTGTTTTGAGGCTACAAAGGGGTAATTCACATAAAGCAATTAGCACGGTGCCTGGAATATACTAAGCACTTAGTAAATGATTGCTACTGTTATTTAGGAGGATAGCTTAAACTAAGCAGAAATGTATATTTCACTAAGTTGTTAAGAATAATAGTTGTTATTCAGGACAGTAGAAGAAATTTTGAGAAGTGATATGTTGGGAGGGATGAAACTGGTATTTGGCAGAGACAAACTTTGGGGGAAAAATGTTTATTTAGAGAGTATTTTAATGCACTGTTGCCATTTGGAGTGTAGGGCTAATGATCTTCCCTGTCTCTACTCCAAATCTTCCGTGGAAACTTCCATTTCCCATTTATGTGCTGTGTAGTCTCTTGGGGCTACAATAGAGGTGCTGAGTCTTGCTTCAAATGGGGAGAGAATGAGACAGAGGCAGCCTCGAGAAGTCTCATGTTTGCATTCGATTTATTCCCTAAGCGCCCTTTGAGGGGCTACAGGAGGGGAAAAGATAGGCGCCACTCAATCTCCTACCTTTGCTTCAATCAAAGCCATTGTTAGCCTTTTTCTCTCTCCTTATTTTTATGCATAAAGGAGTCCTTTCATCTATGATGACAAACATTATTTGAAAACTACTGGGTCTATAGATTCCTCCAGCTCTGAGAGTCTTCGAGATCTAATTCTGTGTGTTCTTGAATATCATGCAATTATGATCACACACACAGTCTTCTGCAAGCTGCATTTTTAATTTTAACTTCGATTTCTTGGAGCTGTATGTAGCTCAAAGTGAAGTTGTTAGAAAAGTCCGTTTTTAGGTTATTAACGGCACCATGGATTATCAAAACAAAAGTTTATATGGATATGAGAGTTTGTCTTCTAATAAAATATGAGGAGAGAACAAAGACCAGGTGAGAATTACATCTCTTTTTATCAAAACAAGCTCCCCCATGGGCCTGGTGGCGTAGTGGTTAAGTTTGTGTGCTCCGCTTCGCCTGCCCTGAGTCCGCTGGTTCAGATCTTGGGTGTGGACCTACCAACCACTTATCAAGCCATATGCTGTGGCAGGCGTACCACATATAAAGTAGAGGAAGATGAGCACAGATGTTAGCTCTGGGCCAATCTTCCTCAGCAAAAAAGGGAGGATTGGTGGCAGATGTTAACTTACAGCTAATCTTCCTCAAAAAAATAAAATAAAAACATGAATAAATAAAAAGGTTTCTCCTTTATCACCATCTGTCCATTCATATGGGGGAAAAATGTAAAAAAAAAAACCCAAAAAACAAGCTCCCTCAAACACACACACTCATGCACAGTCACCACCACCAACATCACCACCACAAGTTTAGCCCTATCCCTGTAAGCCATTTCCATATCAGCTTTTGATACCTTCAGTGCCATGAATTTGTTCTCTGTCGGTTTAGCTGAACTGTGGCTACATTCCCCAAATTCCCTTCCTTGTGTGGCTCTAGATAGGAACAAGAAAAACTTAAGGGAGACTTAGGAAGTGGAAGTGGAGCATCTGCCATTTTTACGATCTGAAGGTCAGTGTAGGATGCTAGCCACTGGGGCAGCCCATGGATATGGTTGCTGCCTTACTAGCTCAGCTTGTTGGTGTGTGGCAGCGCTCAGACTTGCAGCTTCCCCAGCTCCTGCTGCTGCTTCTCCTTTCACTTTTCTCAGTTCTGTG